GAGTATGTTGCTTTGAATTTACTCAACTCAGTTAAGTGGAACCAGGTCACATAACATGGTTAAGTAAATCCAACATTTCATTTTTAGAGTGTAGGATGCTGACATGCATCTACGGTTGCATGATATTGTGCATTTACAGGGTCTGCACCAAACAGCTGAAACCCTTTCTTTACATAAGATGTGATGAATACAAAAAATGGAATCAATTTTTAAATTGAAAGCTAATAGCACGTTTTTGTCATAATGTTTACAGAATATTGAAAAACAACAGTCATAATTTATTAAAATATGTTTAAAACAGATTAAAACCTCATGACCAGACACTTCTACCTCGATGGTTTGAGAAGGTTTCAGAGAGTTTTTACTTTGTTTTTGTTTGGGGATTTATTTCTGCTCTTTCTTTCGGTTTGCGTGTCCTACACTGTAAAAAATGAAATTTTGGATTTACTAAACCATGTTATGTTACCTGGTTCCACTTAACTGAGTTGAGTAAATTCAAAGCAATATACCAGTTTTTTAACCAAAGAACATGACTTTATTGCTTTGAATTTACTCAACTCAGTTAAGTGGAACCAGGTAACCTAACATGGTTAAGTAAATCCAACATTTCATTTTTTACAGTGTACTTCTTACCTTTAAAAATGTAGTGAGTAGAAAGTACAGATAAGTGTGTAAAACTGTAATGACCAAAATTAAAAAGTACGCTGAAAAATAATTACTCGAGTAAAGTACAGATAACCAAAATTTCTACTTAAGTACAGTAACAAAGTATTTGCACTTAGTTACTTTACAACTCTGACACTCAGGTTGGATTGAAATTAATTATTCGTCATCAACTGATTCACTTTTGTTGGAGTCAATCCAATAAAAATGGCTGTTATAGTTAGATGAAACTGGCTAACACGAAAATGGCTATAACTCTTTTGAAATATTGAATTAAAGTTCGTGTGGTAGTAGCTGAAAGTCATCAATAAGTACACTGTAAAAAATGAAATGTTGGATTTACTTAACCAAGTTATGTGACCTGGTTCCACTTAACTGAGTTGAGTAAATTCAAAGCAATAAAGCAGTTTTTTAGCCAACGAACATGAGTATGTTGCTTTGAATTTACTCAACTCAGTTAAGTGGAACCAGGTCACTCCTGTTTTATTCAGAGTATTACTTTAAAAAATACTATCCTGATAAATTGTGTCTCCTGGATAGAGTGAATTTAATTGTGGTTGGATGAGAAGTATGCTTTGTAGCACTTTGAGATTTTTGTTAATGAAAAGTGCAGTACAAATTAAATTCATTATTATTATTATTATTAT